ATGTTCCTTGGAACAAAATTTGAAACAACCTAAAACGCTAGCAATATGAAAATGAACGATTAGATAGTGTCATAATGACACAGCACTTATAAATGACAATGAATCAACTGACTCTAGAGACATAGGATAAATCTTGAAACAAAATACCGAGTGAAAAAATAGGTAGAATATTAAGATCTTTTTATATAAAATTAAAAATACACAACACTACATCTAAAGGTGCATATGTATGCTTAAACAAGAGAATATAGAGTAAAAGCATGAACACATGAAGGCTGGGATACACACAAACTCTGGGATTGTGAGTACTTTGAACTGGAGGACTGCAACCTCGCTGTGCAGGGGCAGAGCTGTATCTGTAACATTGAAAAAGGAAAAGCTAAGGCTAATGTGATTAAATGGTAATATCTATTACATCGAGACGGCAGGTCTGGGTATTTTCGATAATGCTCTCTGTACCTCTGTGTTGGAAATGTTCATAATTTTTAAGAATGTCATATTTAAACCAAAGGGGACAGATGAGACTACTGTTGATGTAGGAAACGTCCAAACCTGCAGAGAATTTTAATGAGTTTATTTGAGCCAAACTGACGACAATTGCCGGAAAGCAAAATCACAACGGATTAAGAAAAATGAGAAAATGCTCCAGAGAATGGCAGTTCTGCAGCTTATTTTATACATTAGAATCAAAGGAGGAGACGTCAGGAGGTTCACTGGTGGTAGATTAAGGGGGCGGGAGAAAGCAAAGCGGGGACATCTCTGGGAGTGGATAAAAGTAAAATGGAGGGACACATACTTCTTTAACATTGGCAGGTACAAAAGAGTTAATAATGAACATTTACAGCACACGGAGATGGGGGTGGGGGCCGAGGTAACCATGAGGGGTTCGGGAGTCTGTGCTCTAGGCCAGAGGGGTCTGGAAGAAGGGATTATTCTGACATCCAACAGTGTGTTATCTTAGATGCAAAAAGACAATAGACAGGCTCACTTAAGGTAAAGAATGACCTTCGTCAAGAAAGCTGCAAGCCCCAGGATGTGACCACCTTCCACGACCTGCTTTTGGTTAGAAAATTTTATGTTCAGACGTGAAGTAACCTCTGTGGTTACTTTCAGTCTCTGAGTTTGTAAGGTCCACCATGCTGGCCTCCCCTGAACTTGTCTGGTTAGTATGTGGCCTTTTTTCCCCATCCACACTACCTAGGAAGAGTGGATAGAGAAATAAAGGGGAAGGCAGTCCAGAACAGAATTTAAGGCAGAGTGGACAAACTCACTGAAAACACAGCTTAAAAGGAATGCAGAAACCAGATCCAAATAGCCCTCTATCCATTAAAGAAACTATAATTTGTAATTTTAAAACCTCCCGGGTCCCATCACTGGCGAATGCTATTAAACAATAAAGGAAGAAATACCAACAATCTACGATGCTTTCAGGAGACAGGAAGTGAACATTTCCTAGCTTGTTTTACGAGGCCAGCATAACCCTGATATCGAAACCAAACACATTACAAGAAAAGAAAATTACAGATCGGTATCTCTCCCGCACGTAGGGATATTAACGAACTGAATACAGCAATAGATACACTAAAAAAATACATCATGGCCGCATGAAATTTGTCCTAGGAACACAAAGTTGGTTTAATATTTAAAAACTCAATCAACATAATACATCACATTAACGGATTAAAGAAGAAAAACCATATTTCATCTCAGAAAGATGACAGATGCAGAAAAGGCATTTGGCAAAAATCAACACCCATTCATCCTAAAAATTCTCCGCAAACCAGGGACAAAGGGGAACTTTCTCAACCAGATAGATAAAGTGCATAAATGGAGTGAAGCAGGAAAAACCCGTGGAGTAAATTGGGAGGAAGAAGCCAACATGCAGGAGAAAAACCGAGCAGGTGGAGTCTCATGACAAGAGAGCGGAGTGTTCAAAAAAGAGGAAATGGTCCGCTGTATTACATGTCACCGAGAGGGAGAAAGACAGGCCAGAGACACACCCATGGAGGTGGCTGAGGCCTTAACACAGCAGACTTGGTGCATGGGTCACGCCCATATTTTTTACTTCCCGTAAAACTGTTCTTAGTGTATCTTAGAATTACCTCACAGATCTCTAATTGAGAACAAAGCAAACCAATCGATGAATTAACAAGTTATAGAAAACGGCAAAGCTTGCTGAATGTTTCTTGGGCCTACTGATTTTGAACCAATCCCGCATGAATACCAAGGGACTACAGATAAATTTGGGGAGACTTAAAAGTTATACTTGGATTTTCAGCTACTTTGGGGTGGTGCCCATGCCCCGAACCCCCATGTTGTTCAAGGATCAACTGTATTTCTATTTAACACAGCAGAAAGCCCAATGTTTAGAATAAAGCTGGTCCTCAGTGACTATTTCTTGAATGAATCAAGCAATACATGTGTCAGGCCCTGTTACTCCAGATTAGCTACGCCTTCTCTCCTTAGAGTGAAGATCGTTGAACATTGAACTTGACCTGAATCCAATGCTGCTTACTCTGGGACCAGTCTGACATTGGGGAAGAAGGATTTTAAAACAGGAGGACGCTCGACGGGCTTGCAGAATGTTGACAATTACACTGAGATTTCCGTTTCTCTTTTGCCACGTCACTTAAAAATGGCAGGACACGTTTTCACCAAATTTGGCACTTATATTTGGGATGATCCGACTTAAACATGGGCTGTGAAAATTAACAAGAAATTAATTTCAGGGAAACCTGGAGAATACCCCCAAAAGATAGCTTAATTATCTTAAACAGAGCAATCGAAACTTAGGAACGAAGACACCAGAAACCAAACAACGAATAGCGGTTTCAGGCACAAGTCGATGGATAGATAACACAGGCTGCAGGCAATGATGTGCGGTCAAGCTGCTTCTCAGAAGGCAGAAGAGCACAGGGATTCGCTTATTAAATGGTGCCCAATGACTTTTCAGAGTAAATCAGATCACGACAAATAATAATCGCAGTTCCACTTATCAAGGGATTATTATGTGCCAGACACATGCACTAACTCATTCAACCTGCACGACGACCCCGTGATGGAAGAATTATTGTCATCTCTATTTTAAAGATGAGGAAGGTGGGATTCAGACACGTTAAAACATGTGCAGTGTCACCCAGCTAGAAAGTGGTAGAACAGGATTTAAACCTAGGTTGTCCAACTCCTGGATCCAGCCTGACCTTGGGCCTCTGTTCCTGCAGGTGGCTCCACTTAGTCTTTGGGCCTGAGCTGCCTGGAAGGATCCCAGTACCTCTGGGCCTGGGGCTCTGCCTTGGGCCTTCTCTGTAATGTCTCATCCATCCCAGGGAGGTAGAATCCTCACCAATACCTCCTCAGCCACCTAACAGGCTTCCCTGCACTGCATCAGAAATGTACAGTTTTGCCATAAAAGCTTAATCTTCACAGATTTGCCTGCACTCACTAATTATCCAAAAATAAGTAGGCATAAGTAAAAAAAATATGATAAATCTAGTTGAAGAACCACAGAGAAATGATTATACTTTAGGCAAAGAGCCAGTTCCATCCCACACCTCCTCTTTCTGATAAACACAGCAGGATGATGGAAAGCAATGTCTGGGGAAAAGAACATCCGACATAAACCAGGGAGACAAACACCTTTGGCCATCTTAAATTACAACACGAACCTCTGAAACTGGTTGTCGAAAGAGTTAATAAAACTCTTCAAGTGACAAAGAGACATTATAACTTGACTTCCTTTTTAGGAATGCTTCTTGCTGCGTCAGTTCGGCATAAATTTTCAAACCAACTGTGACAAGGATGCACTTATCTTCCTAAAAGAAAAGCTTTACGAAGAACTGGAAGGTGGCGGCTACCATGTGTACAGGCCCTGCCAGGTTAATAATAGCCCGTGGGAGAGCCGGTTAATGTCTAACTATTGGCTTGCCGGAGGAAAAAGCCTTGATTTGTAGTGTTTGCTGATTTCCATGGTGTAAATACTCCCAACACGCTGGGTTTCAAGCTACTAAGGTGACTAATAAACACAAAGTTGGGCAGAGAGCATGCTGGGCTCTCAAGAGCTGGTGCGAGCGGGCTCCAGGCAGCGCTAATGTTTACTGGTTACTATTATGTGCCAGGTACGTGCCAAGTGCTTCGAAGTCATCCTCTTTGAATCTTTGTGACAGGCCAGTGGACAGGTACCATTTTATCTCCACTTTACAGATGAGAGAAAACTGTCTTAAAAAGGTTAAGTAAGTAACGAGTCAAAGGTCACATGGCTTGGATCCCAGACATCTGGTCCAAGGGTTTCAGCCCCATTTCGATCCTGCCTCTCTGTAAGCAGTTAAAGGAGGTACTATGATTATTCCCACCTCATCTGACAGATTGTGTGTCGCTAAGACTGAAGAGCAGGCTCTGGGGTAACTGGCAGTGGGGTGGCGAGGTGTCTTTCTCCTTCCTCCTCACCCTTTCAGATCCACGTCAGATGGTCCCTCTTCAGTGAAGCCTTTCCTGACTCCCCCAGAGTTGTGACTCCCCAAATATTTTTTCTTATAAAAATTTTACTTTTCGCATGATGAAATCAATACATGCTCATTAGAGAATACGGAAAATATCAAATACAAAGAGAAAAATCTCTGGTGGCCCCAACTCCTACTCACAGCATTTAATCCATATTTATACTATTAGATTCATCCCCTGTCCAGTGAGTATCTATTTATGTGTTTCACCCCCACCAGACTGTGAACTCCTCCTGGGGAGATACCATGCGTTACCCACACTTTTTTTGTAGCCACTTTCCCCCCACGCCCTACCCCATCTCCATCCCTAGCAGAACATCCGACGCATGGCTGCCCCCCTAAGTAATCTAGGTGCTTAAACATCTTCCAATTCCAATTCATAAAAGGAAATGCTGAGCTTTTCACGTTATCTTCGTTCTGTCCTCATCTTAACTAAAATCAGTTTTCTCCATTTGCCTTGAACACATATGACGAAGGGCTGTTCTCGAAGGCACCTTCCCTTACCTGCATGCCTCTCATCCTCTGGAAGTGTGCAATGGTGTCGCTGATGGTGTACACACGCATGTGGCCCATGTGCAGCTTGCCAGAAGGATAAGGGAACATGGAAAGCATGTAAAACTTGGGCTTTGATGTCTAGGGAAGAATGACCGAGAATGACATTGAGTATTTATTAAGCATTTACTGAGAACCCCGCGTGCACAAAATATCTGGCATGTTACTCAAAGTAATTTATTTTTAAGTTTCCTTTTTTAAAAACTGTTCCCATCAATGTAAACTGACAAAAATGTCAAAAACCAAAATTCAAAGCCCTGGTTTGAGCTAAAGAATCGTGTTGAACAACCTCAAAGTGCTAATTACCCACATAGATTTTTAATCTTTTTTTTTCTCTTTTAAAAGCTTCTTTCTAGGTCTCAAAGAACTATGTGTTTGTCCAAATGAAGCTCTAGCACAGATCCATGTTAATTCAAGGAAGCAATAGTGAGTCACACAGATGTGACATGTCTACACGCAGAGCCCCTTCCGAAATCCCCGTAGCCGCATTCAGACGTGAGTTCAGCAGCAAGTCCGGGGCCCTAAGTCACCGGTTTGGGTCCTGGGTTTCTCTGCTATATTGTGAGCTTAACTTTCAGGAGCATAGTTGAAATGGGAAGGTAAGGAGAGAAATCTCAGCCAACCAAGGGAGAAGGCTGCTGTTTCTGGGGTGGCCTAAGGCCGCCTCAGGCCGGGTTACATAACCCTCCAGCTGCCAGGGAGCACCTTCAACACGAGGAACACAGGAAAAAGGTACCTGCACCCCAACAGAATGAACACAGGGGAGGAAGTCCTTATGGGAACGCTGACTAATGTTCTTCTACCAGTAAAATGGTGAATGTCGTCACAAGCTCGTGCACATGAGGGAATAAGGCACCAAAGGAAATTTAACTGATTCCTTATGGGGGACCTGTTGTTCAAGAGCAGGGACTGGATTTCAATCATTCCCTTCCCCAAGCCCCACCCCCTGGCCGTCCCCAGGAGTTTAATAACTGTCGGATGAATATTTGTTGGCCTTTATGCTCCCAAAGCCTGCTACCTGGCACTTATTACTGAGGGCATTTTTCCCAGAAAACGTCACAAGTCCTGTCCAGGTGATAGTAATGTTCCCCCCTGCCCAGCCTTAAATCTCCTCGTCAGGGCGAAGGGGCTCCCCTAAAGAAAGGAGGAGCAAGAGGTAACAAGAGGTCACTGCTTCTGTTCAGTCACTCTGGGCCAGAACCGTGTGACATCATCACTATTTTATTTCTGCCTTCGGTTTTTCTCTCTTTGTCCTCCCTCCCTTCCTAGAGAGCCATTAGAGTTCTTTAAACTCTGCTTCCCCGTAAGTAATGAAAACTGACACAAAACAGAATATTCATAACAGTTCTTCTGTGTATGTGTTGGGGGGGGTGTTATGTTTTTTTGCTAAGTATTTGCATGACTGATAATTGACACAGCCGACTGTAATGAGGGGAGCAAAAGAAACCAGAAATCAGATTCTTTCCAAATCATTTGACCCCTTGCTGTAAACCTACTTCGGCAAAGAAGTTAAACGAACTTTTAACACAGCCACAAACACGTAGCAAAACAGACTAGAGTAGAACTTTTCTCTGTCCTGCCATTCTCTACAAATTACCACTGAGCAGGAGAAAAGCTGCCTGAAGGAAGAAAAGGGAAAAGGGAATAAATGAGGAGTCTGGAGCTAATCTACACAAACTAGAAAATCCTGAAATGCTGAAGTGACAACTGCTATTGATTTAGATAAATGGATGGAGGCAGCACGTCGACCACGCACTTTAATTGGAAACCGGGGATCCGTAACTCTCAAGAAAGCCACAACTCTCAGGATTGTGAGAGAGGGTCTGAGGTTCAAGAGTCGGTGGGGACTCAGGACTTACTGTCTTTAAGAAGACAAGTGACAGAGCTTGTAAACAAGTCTCTCAAAGGAAGTGCAAGACCTCATTCTGTTATTTGGAGCGGAGTCAAAAATAAGCAAACTATCCACTCTATTCATTTTTAGGGACATGGGAAAACCGCTGTCACAGATCTTTAGGACCCTCCCCCCCCCACCCCACGAAATAACAAGAAAATTCTCAATATAAAGTATTTCTAGTTTTTCATTTTAAAATTTTTACTTTCAACTATTTTTCTTTTATTATAATCACCTTGTTTTTATTAGTAATGTAGTTTTGATATTATGTTTATTTAACAGCTCCTAACATTTTCCACATATAACTAATTCATTAGCATCTCTTTTTTGTAGATCTGTCCAACAAAGATTAAATTTATGTAAAATCGAGTGATTTATTATAGCTAAGCCAAACTCCAAAACTGAGTTTATGAAAGACATATAGAAAAGTACTGCTAGCAAGTCTTTAATATTCATGAATATTTTTGTTTATTGCTGCCTGCCCCTGCCTTTTGCTTTGTGTGGATTAAGTCATTTTCCTCTGTGACAATGAAATGTGTTCTATCTTCTGTGGGTGGAAAGAAAAGGAGGAATTATGGGAGTTTATGTTATAACCAAGCAGGAACCTGATTGAAAGGGAAATTTTTATAATTATATAAGAGCGAAGGAATTTAAGCCTTGAAAAGAAATTCTAACTGTAGGTAACAGGAAAGGATGGTCTTTATAACTGGGTCCTATTACTTTTGCCCGGAGGATGGCAGAGAGCAGGTGCACTCCGTAGGAGCCTGGAGCCCTAGTTCTGGTCCTAGCTTTGCCACTGGCTGTGAGACCGTAGGCAAATTCCTTTGCCTTTCTGGACTAAGTTTACAATCTGTAAATCAAAGATGAGGCAAAAGAAGGTTGTGTGGTGGTGGAGGGAGGCGTGAGCTCAGGAAACAAACAAGGGGGATCAAAGGTGTCTGGGTGTGAATCCTGGCTCTGCCACAGGTTAGTTGTGCATCTCGACAAATTGTCAAAACCCCTTCTGAGCCTCAGTTTTCTTATCCCCAAAATGAGGATAATAATTCCTACCCTCAGGATTGTTTCAGGCTTAAATGAGATAATAAATGAACAGATGGTGCCTGACACATAGCAAAAGGCTCATTAAATGGAAATTCTTTTAATGATGATAATTATGATGATGATGGCAAAATATTCCACTTCTTAGAAACTCATTTGGGTGGATTTCAAATGTATCTAATTCCAGAGGGAGGTCGATTATCAATGCTTCAAAATCCACCAGCATCCAGTCATATTCCCAGTCCCTGACAAAGACACACCCACATTTTTATGCTCTTGTACCTTTCATTTATATAACACTTCAGTTTATAAAATGTGTTCGGTCACATTTTCTCATTTGACTTGCAAAACAATTCTGTGAGATAACGCGAGCAATGTGAGGGTCAAGGTTAATGATGTTGCCAAGTTCACACTGATTTGGGGGGCTGAGCCAGTATTTTACTGCCTGGGCTCCAGACTCCTCAATAGGTGCTCTCTCCACTGCAACATTTCCTGGTTCAGATTTGACAAAGCGCCACCAGGGGCTCACGGACAATAACCCTAAAGCTATTTACCCAATTATTGAAACTGTTTGTTTTGATCCGTTTAATTTTTAAAAAAACATAGGCTTAAGAAGAATGATGAGATGTCACAAAATCAATAAGCTACAACTTCAAAATGTTTGGAAGTCACTAAATTATAATCTAAACCAAAAGAAAAAGAAGAGAAAAAAAGCTAATTTTATGCTCCTTATTCAGAATATAAACTGTTCCCGAAGGTTTGTTTCCAAAATGCATTTAGTTAGATTAGTCTGATCATGTCGCCATGAAGGCTTTTCACTTCCTAATGAGTAAAAGTCGAGCTTTCATTGTATAATTATGTATTACAGTCAAGCCTTCTTTTTTATCATTTCACTTATTATACACTCCATCTCTCCCAATACCAGATTTTCTTACCAGCAGTGATGGTTAATGCACCTAAGCCTGATCCCCAGCAGGCTAGCCTCCCAGAGGAGTCAGCCTCCAGCAGAGCGCTCCACAGCAACTAGCTACAGCCAAGCACTTCAGACAATTCAGGTAGAGCAGTGAGCTGGTACATACCGACTAGAAGCCAAGGGTACACTAACTCATACAGCTGCTACTGCAAGCTAGGACCCCAGCCCCAGACCACACCACGAAAGGGCTGGTACCTCCTAAACCATGATGCACAGGTGGTAGAACAGGGTTGGAAGTCAAGGCCATGTCAGGGGAGAGGCAGGTACTTCTCAGAATATGCAGCTTCAAAGTTCCACGACTGAGGGGCCCAGGATTCTCTCCTGGAGTCTCGTATCTGACCCTGCCAGATCCCTCTGTGAGGCCCAACTATACAATGGACCACGAAGGACCCCACACCTGCTATGGCTCCTGTCTTGACGAGCTTCCCCAGTAAATACTGCCCAAGAATACCCAGCGTGGCACTGTCTGCGTGCCCATGATGTGCTCACATACCACACGGAAACTCTTCTAAGCACTATCCTTGTTTGATCTCATTTTACCCCTCACAAGTATCCTAGGTAGCAGCAGGCACTATTATTATCACTGTCCATTTCAGATAAGAAAACTGAAGCACAGAGAGATTCGATCATTTGGATCAAGGTCACATACTTCATAACTTATTTGAACGGGGCAGTCTGACCCGAGTCCCAGCCCTTAACCCCTCTTCTCTCTTCTCTACCCTTTCAGAATCTCTCGAAATACTCACATCAGCTTCTGAAATTTTGGAGGCCTGTTCTTTTATTCGTTGATGCCACCATTTCTCGACATCCTTTCTTGTCTGCAATGTATACTCTTTCGTCCACTTTCCCGTGGCACTGTAAATACCTCTTGTACATCCTAGAATCGCCCTCCTTCCCCAGTTGATGACATCTGTCCCACCATTTAGCTGCCTTTTCAGAAGAGAGGCATAGAAACCCAGTCTCTGCCAAGCAGAAGCCATTCTTCAGAAGGTGGGATGGCCCTGAAAAAGAAGGCACAAAGCGCATTGGTGAGCCGCCCAGAAGAACCCTCTCTGTCCATTCAGCACAAACCAGTGTTCCCTGCCGGTTCATACGCTTTCTTCTTATTCTTTTGATGATTTCTTTCCCTGAAGGCATTTGGGTACGCCCAAAACAAAGTGTACGAGAATGTACCTGGGAAAATTAATCTTAAATAAAAAGTTTTGTGACTCCCCAAAATACAGACCTGGGCTTCTGCAACTACTAATTCTCTGTAGGACCTCAGACAAATTAATTTCCTGTCTGGAACCTCAGCTTCTCCTTAAGATGAGGGGGTAAACCCAAATGGTCTCTAAGAACCGTCGAGCACTGACATGCTGTGGCAATGATCTGTGGGCCAGAGATGCACTGGAAGGCCTTTAACTGACTACAAACCCCTAGCCCAAGCAGCAAAGATCAGGGACCAAATGGGGTAGGGGAACGGTGTGGGAGAGAAACTTGAGTACAAACTTATGTGTACACGTGCGTTTTTCTGGGAAAGGGTCCAGAGCTATCGACGCGGTTTATGGCTCAAAGATCTGAAGACCTGCATCTAGGAGACTTCCCAGTACGGAAAATCCACGACTCTGAGACCACCTAACCCAGTCCGCACTTTCCTAGCCTGCTCCCACCAAGTCGGAACCTCCCGATCAGGGAGGGAGAAGATTGGGCCTCGTCTCTCGTCCCCCTGAGCCCGTCAGAGGTTTACCTGCTCACAGGATCTAGCCTGCGGCTCCTTACGCCTCGGTTCCGACCTTAGGCGAACACGGCCCGACCAGGCACCATGGTTGCCGCCATGTTGGCAGAACAACAACTTTATTGATAGCAACCGTCACGGACACAGACAAGCGGAGGCGGAGCCCAGGAGCGCACAGTAACGCCGGGACCATCTCCCGGCAGCCCGTAGGGTGAGGGCGTCTGCGCGGCGGCTCCGGGCTCCGCCCCCTCGGTCCTGGGACCGTCCCCCCGCCCCAAGCCCCGCCCCTTGGCCTACTCCTCTGTCCCGCATCTGGCGTCGCCGCGACCCTAGACACCTGGAGGGATGAGGCAGTTAAATTCTTACAATTGCTGCAGACATGTGAGAACCATTAATTTAGTGGCCCCAAAGTGAACTAGGCGGCAGGTGGTATAAAGAGCGCTGGGGAGCCACGAGGTCAGAGTTCGAATGCCGGAGTAGCTACAGCCCCCTACCCGGTTTGGGTGGGTCTCTCAACCTCTTGATTCCTAAAAGCATCTTCTTCCACCGTATTCCGTGATCTAGCCTTGTGAGGGGAATGATTTGGCCAAGACTGGAGGTGAAGTGTGCTTTCCTCACCTGATACGTGGGCTGGGAGTCAGGAAAGCCTGATGCCTGACCGCCCGCTATCCTAGAGGTGTTCGTTTCCCACCCTGAACCCCCGCCCTCTTGCTGTAAATAACTGTTTCTTGCTGTAAATAAGTCAATGAATCAATGAATGAATTGCAAAAGACCCGTGGTGTTAACGTATAATTTTCAAAAAAGGTAAAACCCGTTAAAAGGAGATTTTGAAGGACACGTGGGCAATCAGGAATACTGAAACGAATTTTCTAATTGTGCAAAAGCGATTGATAACCTATAGGAAAAGAAAAAGTAATGTTTGGGCGACATCTTTTCCTACAGGGCTGAAATCAATTGTACCTCTATTAAACCTCTATTAAACGTCCTATTACTATCTATATTCCATATCGTAACTTCTAGTGTTACAGAGAACTGAGTAAAAGACAAGCAAAAGCACCCACCCCTATAGCACCAGGTAATCCCAGACCTGCACTCCACCCAAAGAACACACAGGGAGGGTAAACTCTTTTGCCAATTTCCAAATCTTTAACAAAGTGTCCCGACATTTCTAATCCAAATGGTTTGTTATTCAAAGTGCAATCTCTAGACCAGAATCAGTCTTACCTATACGAACTGGCCAGAAATGTAGCATTTCAAGCCCCGCCCCAGACCTGCTGAATCAGACTGCATTTTCACAAAATCCCTGGAGAATTCTCAGGCACATTGAAGTTTGAGACTCATCATCTTAAAATGTGAGTTAGAAAGCATCTGGAGAACACTCTAGACCAGCCCACTCGTTTTACAGATGAATAAACTGAAGCCCAGCGAAGCTGACTGTCTAACTCAAGATCATAGCAAGTTAGTAAAAGCTTTGGTATTCAGAAAGAGGTCTCTAGCCTACTAGAATAGTACCCTCTCCAAACTGCAGAATGAAAGATCCAATCCTCTTGGTGAGAACACCGAGGCCCAGAGATTGTATATAGCTTGCCTAAATTGATGGCAGAATCAGGATTCCAATTCAGATCTCCTAATATCTCTGCCACTGAAACGGATGCTTAATTTAAAGTGATACCATGGAAGCATTGACTCATTAATACACCACACTTCAAGTCATTTAACCTCCAGGTACACCGTGCTGCAACCATGTATAACTAGAGTGCCCTTTCTCTAATTTACCCAAAATACTAAATTCTAAGTAGCCTTTATCCTTATTTTGGTTCAAAATCTCTTTCTTCTTATGAATTAAAGTTAACATTGACATTTCTAGGAGATTATTTCAAATGGAATTTTTTAAAAAGTCAGTTACTTTACTGGAAAGTTGCTATTTTTACATCAAAGAAGACAGCAGCATGAAAGTAAATCCCTTTCACTCTTAAAGAGCTTGCTGCAAAGATACATTATTAAATGAAAGAGACAAGTTGCTGGACTGTGTAGAAAGTTATCCCATTTTTAATTTTTAAAAGGAAAGAAAATAAAAAATACATTTGTTAGTGTAAGTAATGGAAAAAAATCCTGAAAAATATGCTCCAAACTATTTCCAGTGATGATCTCTAGCTCCAGTGGGGTCCTATGGGTCTTTCTCTGCCTGATAGGTTTCTGTGTTCCTTCTGATTTTTTTTATTAGCTTGTGTGGTAGGCTGAATAACGGCCGCCAAAGATATCTAGGTTCTAATCCATGAAACTTGTAAATGACACCTTATATGGCAAAAGAGATTCAGGTGTGATTCAGTTAAGAATCCTGAGATTATCCTGGTGGGCCCGAATGCAATCTGGTGTCCTTATCAAAGAGAGGCAGAAGGGAATTTGAGATGGAAGAGGCAATGTGACCATTTTAACAAATGTCATGGATAATTTTTCTTTAACAGTTCTTGCTGACCTGGCAGTTAAGCCTCTCACTGATGGGCCAAAAGACTCATGATCTCTGCATATATCAGAGAGGTCAGTAACAAAGAAAATGGGACTAGATGCCCTTCTGAAAGTTGCCACAAAGCAGTCTTGGCCTTGAGTGGCCTGGAGGGAAATCAGTATTTTCCTAGGATCCTGATATTAAAAAGCCCCATTCCTTCCAGGGTATAAACTTTGCTGAAAGTGACCTCTTTCGTTGACTTAAACTTTTAGTTTTTTCTCCTACCCCCAAATGACTTATAGTTCTTGAATGTATATTAAAAAGCACACTTGGAGTAACTCAAACCACAATTACACTTGGACACAGAGACAGACCTTGGGATTAAGCTTCTGATCTGTTCATTACAGGAAAAGGGAAAATCCTTTCCATTGTCGAAAATCTTCTTAGGCCTTGCAATTGCTTCTAGAAAAAAGATAATCCTATTTGAAGAAATACCAAATGTATAAAACAGTTTTGAATCACATTTGACCTGAAGATATTCAGAATTCATTATTGTTAGTCTGAGTGAGCTCTAAGTAACATATATTCACTTGCACATGTATGAAGTGTATTTGCCTATCTTTTGGTGGCATCTGCAATTTTAATAAACATGAATAAGACCTTATCGTTCTTACATCTCTGCCATTAATTTGACATTTCTTCATACAACTTTTTGGCACCTCTTGTATTTCCTGTAGAGTTAATTAGTCCTTGAATTTATGGGCATGTGTCTTCTCTTCCCATGTAGACAATAAATTAAGTCAATGGTTACACTCCTCTGGTGTTCGATGAGCAGTATAGTTTTATATACAGGGGAGAGAAAATCGTGTGTCACTGCTTAGTGTTCTCCAGCCCAAATTATATAGCATACAAATACAACGAGGGCCTCAGTTTCCTATTCTGCCCTGTTCGTGAGGTGTGGGGATGGTGTGTGGAAAGAATTTAACAAATGCCAGTCGCATGGAGGGAGCTTAGGAATTGGTAGGCTGATAGTCATGGTAGCAATGATGTCACTGCCCTACAATGTCCTGGAAGGATTTGTCAGCTAGTCTTTCACCTGACAGTGGCTGGTGACAAACACACCCCTAGTAGAGAGGACGCCAAACCTACTGTACTTTTCTTACTAGTCACTTTCAGGACAGTCAGGATCTGTGTCTGAGGAGCATCCTAGAGTCCCTTCTTTCTAGCCACTTCTCTCCTCTCCCTCCTCCATCTCTGTGGTCTTTACCCTTCAGGTCCCTCCCCCTCCCTCACAGACAAATTATGTAGCGGACAAATACAGACAAATACAGCACAACTTTGGTTTCCTATAAGACAAGCCAGCCCTTCTCTTTCTAATATGAATTGCCTTTCATAGTAGAACCTCACATTCTTATGCCGAATGGTGAGATGAGATGAGAAGAATAAGACGATGAGAAGAATAAAGGAGGAGAAGGGACTGAAAATTCTGGCTGGGCAAACAATAGCAACAACAACAATCACCATCCGCATCGCTGTCACCAATTTCATCACCTAAGTTCTCTACCTGGAGCCCGAGGGAAAGCGGGGAGGGAGGGAGAAAAAAGAAAAAGAAGCTAAGCCGAGTTCAAGGGCTTTTTCTCTTCTTTCTCCACGGAAGGAATAGGAGACAGAGGAAGACAAGAAAGAGAAAGAGGAGGAGGGGAAGGAGGAGGAGACAATGTAGAAGAGGGAGACGGAGCAGTCTTGGGATGGGGCGGGCAATGAGATATCGTCCCCGGCCCTCGGCTCAGCGCAGGGAAATGCTAGAGTCCACCAAGGGCTAAACACAGAAGGTGATCACCACAACGCAGTTTATCAGTCAATCGGACTGTTCCGTAGCCATTTAACCCTGTCCCCAGAAAGACAAGGATGCTAACAGCACTCTATCATAGAACCCTTGTCATAGTCCAGGTACTGTGCCGAGCTGAGTGGCAGCAAGCAAGCTGTTTCACCTCCGTAAGCCTCAGGCTCCACACCCGTAAAGGGGATCGGAGCAGGACCTATCTCATAGATTCGTTGTAAGGATTAAGTGTTGTAGTTGACCCAGCGCCTCGTACAATGTCCTTGGTATTGTCCCTGCCAGGAGGTGTGGGGGGAGGGGAAGGCAAGGAAACCTATCTAGTGTGCAGATCCAGTGAAGGTGGAGGCTGTTGAGTGCCGATAAATTGCAAAGAGCTATGCATTCAGGACTTTTCTTCTGCTTCAGTCCCCACATCATTTACGAGGTACGGGACAGGGACATTGCTCAGGTTAGTTGAACCTCTGCTTCTCACAGATGTACATGCGTATGATTCATCCAGCGATCAGAAAGTCTGGGGTGGGCCTGAGACTCTGCATCTCTAACAGGCTCCCAGGAGAGGCCGGTGGTGCCGGCCCCTTGACCGCACTGTGAGGAGCAAAGAGCTAACGGATAGCTCCGGTGTGACAGATTCGACTGCGACATAGAAATAAAGACAAGATACAAGACCACCAGTTTACTTGCCGACACTTACTTAGTCTGTTCATTTGGGGGGCAAGAGCCCATCTGAATAAGAGGGAAGCTTGAATAATTAAACTTCAATCCGACACTTACTTAGTCTGTTCATTTGGGGGGCAAGGGCCCATCTGGATAAGTGGGAAGCTTGAATAATTAAACTTTAATTAGGAAGGAAGGAAGGGGGT